TCAGTCCCATGTGCCCTCTTCAGAAACCTTTCCTGTTCCCTGTCCACCCATCATGGCCCTGAACCCAGCACACTGAGGTTATACCTATCTCCATGTACAATGATATATTTAACAATGGTTTTCTTGATTACTGCTTTACATCCCCTTAAAATATAAACTTCACAAGGACAGGGACTTTGACTTTTTTATTGCTTAATCCTCAGTGCCCAGAAGTAAGTGTTCAGGATGAATGAATGCGTAGAGAATGAGTGAGCCAACATCCTATCACCCTCATCCTAAAACAAACAGAAACAGCCTTCACTTCTCACTTTAGCTTTTTCCTCTCCAAGTAATCTGCTTTGTGTTTTACTATGGTTCCCCAACCCTGACATTTGTCTTTAACCCACTAAACCTGACCTGGGGTTCCCCTGAGGAGGAGACGGCAGGCATGACAGGAGGAACCCCAGTGTGGAGAGAAAGAGCCAGGGCTTTGCATGTTGCCTCCATCTTTTACGTGTAATTAGGTGACTTACCCAACAAACCTGAGCCTCTGTTTCTTTCTGTGGACACGTGTACTTTATTATTTCTTTTGCAGTTTTTTTTGGCCAGGGCTGGGTTTGAACCCACTACCTCCGGCGTATGGGGCTGGCGCCCTACTCCTTTGAGCCACAGGTGCCACCCAACACATGCACTTTATTACGTACGCCCCAGGATGGCTGTAAGGATTAAGCGAGATTAATACCTGACCAAGTTCCAGACCGAAGAACCCCTGACTGGTCAAGTAATGCCAACCACTCTATTTGAGAAATTCTATCTTCCCTTGGCTTGCACAACACCACCATCCTGGTTCTCCTCTACCACCCTGGCCACTCACTTTCTGTCTCTTCCTTTGCTTCTTTCTCCTTTGATGCTCCTTCATCACGTGGGGCTTCCCAGCACAGTGTGAGTTCATTTGCTACCACCACCACCACACTACTGGAGACCCTATTTCTAACTCTGAGCTGGAGCTGAGCTTCAGATCCCCAGATCCAACTGCCTATCTAATTATTCTTCAGGCAGTTAAAACATCATGCATCTAAAACGGGACTCATCACCTTCTCTCCATACTTGTTTGGCTTCCTGCATTTTTTTCTTGTTGTTGTTGGTGGTGGTGACAGGGTCTTGTCCTTGCCCAGGCTAGACTGAAGTGGTGTCATCATAGCTCACTGCAACCTCCAACACTTATGCTCAAATGATCCTCCCATCTCAGCCTCTCAAGGACAGATGGGTCTATAGCCATGTGTTACCATACCCCACTAATTTTTTGAAGTTTTTGTAGAGATGGGGTCTTACTATGTTGCCCAGGCTGGTCTTCAACTCCTGGCCTCAAGTCATCCTCCTGCTTCAGCTTCCCAAAGTGCTGGGATTACAGGTGTGAGCCACCATGCCTGGCCTGCTTCCTGCATTTTTGATAAATTATATCAGCATCTATCTAATCACCCCAAATAAACAACTTGGTGTCATCGTACATTCTTTCTCCTCCTTCTTCCACTGCCCCACCCCCATATCCACTGAGCATAGGCTGAGCCAGGAAAAACGAGGGTTTATAGCTTATGGGAAGGAGGAAGTTATTTGAAACTGGGCAGAAAGTTCTAACAACAGATATGGGTGGGCTTGGCTCATAACACATGGTAAACTGGGGCGGCCCCT